GGTGCGCGCCCGGGATCCGAACCGGCAAACACCGGGCCGCCACAACGGAGCACGCGCGCTCAACCCCATGCGCCACCGGGCCAGCCCGAAAAAGAGTATTTAATATTATGTTATAACTTTATGTTTTGGGGAAAACCTCACTGTTTTCACAACACAAACTAATGAAAGAAAAGCTCAACAAAATCTCGGAAGATGGCCAATGCTTTAGATAGATTCTATCTTCTACATTATTGGTGATTCTTAAGGTTGGGTGGAGAGTTAAATAAGAGTTTCAGGTTAGTAACTCTGGAGAAAAAAGAAAATACTCCACAAGGGTATCTACGTTGGGTTTGATTGTACATTCAACTGTAGGATCAAAAGAGATGCACTGTTCTTACCCATGACAGCTCAACGAATTTTACATATGACAAACCTTAAGCAAAACTTCTGCTCTAACTAAGTAGAATTTAAGGAAAGAAATACCAAGATAATTCAGAGTAAAAGAACCAGCATTAAGAATGATCACAAGAATATTTCAAAAATTGTTTGAGAAAGTATATAGTAAAGAAGAAAAGGTTTAGATTTTAAAAATTGGGAGCTGGGGATCTAGCCATGAACTATTATGCAACCTTGAGCAAGTTACTAGAACTTTTTAGGCCTGAGTTTCCTCAACTACGAAACAAGGACATTAGGCTAGATGCCAAGGTCCTCTTCAGTGCTAATCTTATTCTATAATTCAGGGACGTTTAAGTGGCACATAATAGGCAGGGAAACAACAGGGCATGCATGAGAAGTTGTACATCTGCGCAGTTGTGTACTAAACAACAGGCCATGATGATCACGACCCTCAGGGATGAGTGAATAAATGGATTAGCCCTACATTAACAGCATGTTCCCCAAGCATCGTTTGAAAAAAAGCCATTAAAGAGAGAGTGGCCAATCTAGCCAATTAATCAGCTATTTACCACTTTTGTAAAGGTAATAAAATAGCAGAGATTATTAAACTTGCTATTTCATGATTTAGGGATTCATGTTGTTGAGAGAGAGCTGAGAGGAGATGGGGGAGCCCCTGTATAAATCCTCCTCCCTCATGGACTGTTCTGGTTCTGCATACAGCAGTGAAGCAACTTGGGTGGCAGGAGACTCTTTAGTTCAAGTCAATTCAAAAGAGCAATACCAGTCATACAACTAGGAGATTTCCACTCATGACTGTCACATGTATGGCTAACAATGGGCATTATTATATTGAATTAACACCAGATTTATTTGAGTAATTTGAATGGTAACTATTGATAATCACCATTATGCAATATTATCAACTTTTCTCTAAAGAATTTGTAGAACCATTAATGCATGGAGCCTGGGATGTGGAGCAAGAAGCCCCATGGCAGCATGAATGCCTTGGCTGCAGCAAGGTGAGTCCCTTGGCTATGGTGGCCTCTCAATCGGCAGGCTCCCCTTCCCTGGGGGAATGTCCTACCTGATGTGGGCCACAGAGGAGAATCCTGCTTCCTCAATTTGAGCCTTTAGCTCCTTCAGTTCCCCCTCAGCCTTCCTCTTCTCCTCTAAGTGCTGATGCATCTCAGCCCTTAGGTGGAGCATTTCCTCCTGAAGATCCCTGTTACTGTCCCCTCCTGTCGGGGACGAAGGAGGAAGAGATACGCCCTGGGTCTCCACAGCTGCCAGGCTTTTCTCCAAAGCCACCTTGATGAGCTGAAAGAAAATGATGGTTTAAAGAAGTTAGGTCATTAAAGAGGATCCAAGAGGAACATCAAATCACAAAGGCAGCCTTAGTGGGAACAAAAAAGGCAGACCTAAAATAAGCCCCCCTAAGGACTTCCTCAGGCATAAGGGCCCTGGAGACCGGTTTGGGAGGGGTGGACACCATGCGAGCAGGGAGAATTGCTGCCATGGGCAGGAAGAGGAATATCCAGAGGTGGGTGAGAAAAAAACACAAGCACATAATAAATTAAAAACAAATGAGGTGTAAACAGAACTGGAGAGTGTGGATGCTGTGATTCTTCTCTTCCTGAGGAGACAGAGTTCCCCCAGAGTCTTCTTACAAGTCAGGAAGCTTCATCAGCTCCACAACACTTGAGTCCTTGATTGCAAAGATCACAGCTCGAGACACCAGTGCTCAAATCCTGAGTCAGTGTCTGTAACTCAGATTCCAAAAAGGATGACAGAGGGAGGACTCAGGCACTCAGGAGTCAAGAGTCACAGTCACCGAATTAGAATATGGGCAGAGCTACAGGTGAGACAAAGCAAGCTTAATTCCATTGGCAGCAGGAGTATCATACCCTACAACTACTGAGAAGTTCAAGTGAGGCCACCTGCCCAGCAGCCAATTTCGCTAGTTGGATATTACCCTATGCTGACACTGCCAGCCAAACTCTACACATCTAAGCAGGTGAGAAGAAAACAAGGCAGAAACAATTTCCCAACTCTTTTCTTTCTTTTTTTTTTTGAGGATCCTCTTGAAGTTACTCTTCAATGTTTCAACTAAAGCAGATCATATAGTTTTTCCTCAAATGAGAATTTTTTAACTTTAAGACTTTCTTATTGTTCATCTTGGGCTCCTTTCCAGTTTTTCCCACACTTTTAAAAGTCTACAAACCAAAACCTACATAGGATCATCTACTCAGTGTATGACTAAGTATTTCAGTACAAAGATTTCTTGCCTGTCTGTCCAATATTAGTATTAATACATCCCAATATCATGTTGGCTTCTTTTTCCTCTCAGTGGCAGCATTTTGGGGTTTTACTTAACTTCAGGTCTGTTTAGACCTCCCAGTTTTCCATCTCTCTCCCTCAGCTATTTCTGGGTCATGTCGTTTTCTTTTATCTCTATAAATAATGTGACTTGTAGTTGTTACTTATAAATTGATTCTGGCTATACAGAATCATTTCCCAATTATCAAAGTCATCAAAATATTTGATGTGTGTCTCCATAAATCCTGTAGTGGCCACTTGATTAGGGATGACTTGTAGAATTAATTATATGCTTTATACCTTCATTTAGGTCACAAATATATTGAACAGAACAGAGCCTAGAGCTGCTTAAATGGATCAATGATTGATAGAGCTGCTTGGCCTCGCACAAAGCCATTGACTTTTGCTTTTGACCTTGTAACAGAGCATGGTAAAATCTAGCCAATGGGAATGTGGTGGGGCTGATTCACAGCACGTATGTGCAATGGCGTTTAGTGACATAGCGGTTGAGGTTGTGAGAAAGAAAGAAAGAAAGAGATGCGCAGGCACATTTCCTAGGCATTCCTGGGCTTGTAAGCCTGAGATCTGGGAGCTTCTTGGGAATGTCTGTCTCTACGGCTCTGCTGTCAGGCTTAGACTGGTGGCCACCTCTGCATGTGCCACCAAGCATTTGTGACAAAATAAAGGAAGGGGGACTGGCTAAAACCACTTTTGAAAGTTCATGACCTCACCTCTCATTTAAACTATGTGACTTTATCTTTCTACATAAACTCTTTCCAACTAACTCAACTAAAATAAACATTGCTATCAGCTTTGAATATGGGCACAACATTTATTATTTCTAAACCTTAAGAGTTCCTTCTGCTTAAAAATAATGTCTAACTTTAATGATACCTATCTATTTTTAAAGTGCCTTCTGGATGTACATTATCTTCTTCTATTGATTTAAATATACCTAGTTTCTTTAAAAAGAAAAAATTAAGACCCACAGAATATTAATACCAGAAGGGACCTTAAGGTCCATCTGGTTTAATTTCCCACTTTAAAATGAGAAAATAGAGATCTGATTTGTTCCCAGGCTAATTTGGGTTTTCCTATTTCCATGTCAAAGGGAACTTATTTTGGCTAACTTGTCTGCAAAATTTCAATGTAAATGCATGAAAAGTGACTCAGGATCTAGCCTTTTTACTAGTTTTTCTTTATCATCTATGGAAAGTTAATATTTCTATTTTTTTCCCCCAAATAAAACCCCAGGGTTTCCAGTATGTATGGTGGTAGTATTACTCCTTTAGGTCTATTGTTAATGATATCTCTTATAGGTTTTTTCTTTTTTCACATTTCCTAATTCATCTGTTCTATTGCTTCCATGGTATAATTCAGCTTTTTTGTGTGCTGGGTTTCCATTTACCCCACAGAGGTCTATGTGCAGATCTGAACTCTTGTTTGAACAGAGTTGTTTTGTTTTTACCCTATTGCATCCTACCTCTCACATCTCTCTCTCTCTTAAGTCAGTTCTCAGACAGCATTAAGGGTATTAAAAATGATCTTTTCTCAAATTCATAACAGAAGTCTACAGACTTCTTTCTCCTTTGCATTTTTTTTTTTTTTTGGTGAGGAAGATCAGCCCTGAGCTAACATCCATGCCAATCCTCCTCTGTTTGCTGAGGAAGACTGACCCTGAGCTAACATCCATGCCAATCTTCCTCCACTTTTATGTGGGACGCTGTCACAGCATGGCCTGACAAGCGGTGCATCAGTGCGTGCCCGGGATCTGAACCTGGGCTGCCCTCAGCGGAGCGTGTGCACTTAACCACTACACCATGGAGCCAGCCCCAACCCTTCTTTGCATTTGAATCTTGATTCTTGATTAACTTTTCTCCATTATAAAAGCTCAAATGAAAAAAGGCAATGATTGATTTCGTTTCTTTCACAGGAATTTCCTAAGTACTTATTATAGATCTTACATTTGCTTGAGAATGGAATTTTGTGGGAGATATCTGGAAAAATTATCATCATGGTGAGACCTGAGATTTCCTGTGGTCAGTGAGTCCAAAAGTAAGGACAAAGCAACTTGGTCTGGCCAAAAGGTGGTTCTTGCCTTGGAAGGAACACAAAATTGCATGTGTTTGTTAGGGGAAGTGTATATGCTTGAGGTGGGAAGGTAGCTTGGTGTTTAGAATAAAGTGTACCTTCCAAGGACACAACAAGGAAGAACTTGGAGCCTAATCTTAAGGGACCATTTCCCTGGAAACCAGCAAACACAGTTTTGAGAATCTGGACACAAAATAGTTATGGCAAAACAAGCTTTATTTAGTTGGTAGCAGAAGAGTCACATCCTCAAACTCCAAAGAAGAGTAAGTAAATTTACAATGATTTCACACACCAAGGTTCGTCCAACCAAAACTGAAGATTGATTTTCAAGGAAAGGTGATGGAAAGAAAAATGATGCTTACCCAAGATATTCTTCATCCAGCAGTTATATACTTTGTCTATCATGAGTCAAGCCCCAATCCAAAGATTTGTTAACTAGTAATTTATTAAGTATCTCCTATGCCAAGTAATAGGGCAGATATTGCAAGAGAAATACAAATGCCCCAGTGTAAAAGTTTATTCCAGAGTTGAATTGACCTCAAAATGTGGTCTGGTCATTTTCTCTATGCTAGGCTATTGGAAAGATGGTTAAGGAAGAAATGACTTTACAAACCAGTTTGCCTACAACTGAGAATTAGAGCAAAGGACTCACACTACCAGGGATAGTTTAGATGATGTCAATCAGGATCTGGCTCTCTCCATATCTGTGTCTCCTATTCATTTATACTGAAGTTAATCCTGTCCCACATGACATCCCAATCTAGGTCTGTCTTAAAGTGGACATTCGTTTATCCTGCAGATCCCTCTCTCTCACCCAAGGTCCTCAATAAAATCAGAGAGTGAGAGCAGAGGGATCTGTCTGGAGCAGCAGTAGTGTACATAATTAAAGTTAGGAGCATCAGTTAGGAGGACTCAGAAGCTCTTCAAGCAAAAGGAAAAGTGGAGCTCATGCAGGAACTCAAGGAAGAAGTAAAGATCAGGTATGGCTAGAGCAACAAAAAGGGGATCTTGGTAGAAAATAAAGAAAATGTCTTGAGGACATGTGGTATCCCAGACAACTACTCATGTCCTCAAGAGCCAAAGACTGTGCCAAATCCTGTGACATTTGTAGACTGCTCACTTGAGCTCTTTTTGTTGGTTTATTAGATGTCTCCTCTTTTTCTTATGCAGGAGATGCAGAGGCAGACCCAGAAAGCTCATTTCCCCTACAGTTTTCCTACTAGCTCCAAAGCCCAGCTATTTCTGCAGAAGGACAGGTACCAATGACCAACTTTCTCCTTAACAACATGGCACAGACATGGTCCATCTAGGAAATGTGATTGATAAATGTCACGGCAAGGTGGAGACACACAGGGGTTCCAGTGAGTGCTATGGAATCACTATCAGTGACTTAATTTCTGAGGTCCACGATATTTAACTCTTGAGCTTGAGAACATGCTGGTTACACCATCACTGCTGGTTGGTGGGAACAGTGTTTCAGCCTTAGGTACCAAGTCTTGAGGTTTGACAGGGCTTGCTCTTGAAGTGTCATCTGCTGGACATTGACATGTCACAACTTGGGTGGTTTATCAGGTTGCCCAACAAAGTTCTCTTTCGTGTAATGAGATTTCACTGAGAATGATCCCTGCTTTGGAAGCCTTCTGATCCTCTTGCAGTTTCTCAGAGAGCACTCTCTCGAAGCAGGCTAGGCCTGCCACTTCCCCAAGCAGCCCTTCGATGACTCCCTGTCTTCTGTGGTTTGTTTCAGTTACAAAAGCCCAAGAGAGGAAGTGTCCATGATCTTGTAAGTAAAAATTCTTCTGAAGCTATAGCTATAGACGGTACATGGGGGCAAAGGTGGGTAGGAGGGGGCAGGGAGCAGGAATAAGAGATAGGAGTAAAAACAAAAGGGTGGATTGGAGAGAAAAATGGAGTGAGGATAGGGGTTGGCAAGGTAGCTAGGAAGCTCAGGGAGGGCAAGAAGACGACTAGGATGTGGTTTATATAAAAAGAAAGCTTCTCACTCTAGGTCCACAAGGGCTGCAGGAGACCACAGACCCCAAGGGCTATCAGCTTTCCAATCTAGGACCCAGAACCTGACTCGGACTTACTTGCTGGTGGCTATTGTGTGCAGCCTCCTCCTCAATACTGTCAGTGAACTCAGTGCTCGCGTCTTCAGTGTCGTCCCCTGCAGCTGCACCTGAAAGTAAGTCCAGAAGAGAAAGGTGACTCCCTTCACAGCTGGCTTCCAGACAGCGGCTAAAATTACACTTTTTGCCATCCACCTCTGATTTCTTCCTTTCCCCATATGCACGGCCCCCTAGCCAGCAGGGCCAACAGGGAAGGCAGAATCAACCTGCCAAACCTGTAGAAAAGCCTTCTCGCTGGATCACTGATATTTTCTCGCTAACGCTCAAGCTTAAGCCTCAAAACATAAGTTGGCTTTGACTGCACAGACCTGTACCTAAGGAGTTGGATAGAGTGGTTACCCCTCTTACCTATTTCCAGAAAGCCTGAATTATTCCCTGTCTTGCCACTGACCGACTGTGTAACAACTTTCTCTTCTGTAACATGGGCCCAACATGACTAACCTGTTTCCCACCACTGAGCACTGAGAGGGTCCCTGATTTTCTGGGGATTAGGGCAGCCCTGCTCCTCTCACACTATTCCATTGTTGGGATCAGTTGCGCATGGGGTGGCAGTCCCTCTGAGGAACCCTCCTCTAGGCGCTCAGGTCTAGTCAAGACCCAGGGCACAGAATGATTCAGGTGTTTCCTAATTTCTTCCTCTAACCTCTCCTCCTCCCCATCTTTCTCAAACTCTTGTTCAATGCAACATCCTTTGCCTGAAGTGTTTTTTGCACTGCTTTGTCCAAATGAGATTTAATCAATTCTTTCATTCCCCAAAGATGGACACAGTCACCCTAGGGCACAAACATCTATGCCCTGCACTAAGGGATAAGTAGCTGCAGTTTGTGGTCTGGGTAAAGGTCTAGGGCAGTGCTGACCCATAGAACTTTCTGCAATTCTGTGCCTATGCTGCCCAATACAGTAGACAGTAGTCACATGTGACTACTGAGCACTTGAAATGTGGTTAGCATGACTGAGGAACTGAATTTGTTATTTAATTTAAATTAATTTAACCTAAATTCAAATAGCCACATGTGGCTAGTAGCTACCATATTGGACAGAACAAATCTAGGGCATTTCTTCCTCTCCACATCTGTTAAAAGACTGTCCATCCAATTTTAGATTAAGATCTGTGGCCCACATTACTGATTTCTTCTGAAAGTGTAGAAACGTATAATGGTTAATTCATTTGAACACCAAAGAAAATCTACCATGACACTCTCTGGGTCTTACAGAACCTGCCCACATTAGAGAACGTTGAGATCTAGTTCTGACCCTGGCCTCAGCAACCAACCTGTTAAAACTTCTCTTCTGACCACTGAGTAGCCTGGGCCTCAAAGAGATTAGGTGGCTTGTCCAAGGTTACACAGCTAGTCCTGACAAGAGTTGTGCCAAGAAGTCTCTGGACTTTCAGACAGAGGCAACTCACTGTTCTTTCTGGTGATAAATCAGATGTTTATCTTTGTTTCTTCCTCTGAGACCAAAGATCCTGCTACTGAGCTCAGACATTCATGGATGCAATGCTCTGCATAAATAAGGAGCATTCACTACCTACACTACAACAGGGGCAGTTCACACCTACATTCCATCTCTTGGCATCTGCAAGTTCATGTCAGAGTATCTGCAATGTCCCAGGCCAAACTCATTAAAGTACTAAAAGGAAGTAAGCATGTTGTCCTAACAGCTTAATCTTATGACTCATTCCCTGATCTTCAACATGAATGTTGTATTAACTTTGGACCAAGGCAGTACCTTGTTTAGTAAAAGCCCTACTCACAGGAGGCACCTCTACCACTCAGAATCTTTAGAGATCTATGGCAGACAGTGTACAATAAGGCTTTCCAATACTTATTGTTCCAAACTAGCCCCAGAACCATCTCATTCAGGGTTGTTGTGCAGAGGTGAATAAACACAATCCCTAAGCTTTGGCTGCTTTGGAAACTCATTGAACCCAGGATGCTAATTCACTCAAGGACAACCATATCGTATATTATGCCTACTTTGGAAAATCTTTTCCTGTACAACAGTAGGGATCAGAATTTTTTTTTTCCTACAAAGAAAATGAATTGCTCCACTCAGTGAGAGATTAAGAAAACATACTTTCCACATTGTTTCCCTTCTGAGTGTTGGGCTAGAGAATGACCCTGCGGTTGAAGAAAGCTCAGCCCTCTGAGGTCAGGATCCTCATTCCCATGCCATTCTTGGTGGGTTGAGTAGCCATGCTGGGCCCACATCCCAAGATGGTTCCTGTACAAGGTTCCAGGAGTAAGATAAGTGGGGATTAGAAACGGTATTGTCACTAGTCTTGAAGGCTTTTGTCTTTCTGCCCTTCACTTACCTTTGTCAGCTTCTCTGATGCCACATCTGCATTTCTAGATAATGCTCTGTCTTTAATTCACTTAGGGCACAATACCATGGTTTTGACTTCATCAGCAGTTAAATGGAGACCCAGCAAGAATGCCCATTTCATCCGGACACTCTACTACATAGAAGTTTTGCTTTCCTTATTTATTTTTTTAGCTAGCTTACAGTCTACTGTATGTCCTTCAGGGCAGCTATAAGAGTTGCTCAGCCTTTTACCCATTGAATTAGAATGTTGAAAGCTTCTTCGTATGTGTTTGAGAGGGAGAATAAAGTTGAAAAAATTTTATAGAAAATCTTGGAATGAATAAGTTATCCCACACAAGGTCCTATATAGAAGTTTACATTAGACATCCCTCTTTCTGTTGTTACCACTGTTTTTTTGTTTTATGAATGACAATTAAAGAACTCTTGTGGCGAATACCCTTTCTAAGCTTTTACAAGGCAACAAAACACTGTCTTCAGAACTAACTTGGAATACTTTAACTTTCTAATTTCAATTAAATGTACTATACTTTATATCGATGAATCTACTGCTTATTTTTGATAAATCTGAAATGAAATGGCCTGCTACCTTTAGAATCTATGAAAGCTAAGAATCTGTTTATTCAAATTTAACTTGCTTCTCCAGGTTTTATCTCCAGGGTTAAGTTTTACGTGTTAGACTGGAAATTTTATTAAAAACTTCTATTTGAGGCTTTGATGGTAGTTCTCAAATTGTGGTTCTTGCAAGTTTCTAGGCTCTGAACCACACACATAATGGAGGTGCTACCAAAACTTCCCTTTTTTAGATTTAGACAATTATTTTCTACCAGCTATCTGACTCTACAAAGTACACAGAAATGAAATAAACCCCTAAAATATAATACTATAAAATCCTTGGGCAGAAACTTAAGCGTTATGCAAATATAAGTTATTCTTTTTATCACTGAGGCAAAAATTCACACTTTTCTTTTAAATTGAAGATGGCAACACGGACTCCGGAGCCAGACTGTCTAGGTTAGATTTCTGCTTCTGTCATTAGTTATGTGACTTTAGGCAAGTCACAACCTTTCCCTAACTCAGTTCCCTCATTTATGAATTAGGGTTAAGAATGATATCCACCTGCACAGTTGTGAACTTTCAAGAGTTTGCTGCTTTTGAAGTGCTTAGAACAGTGCTTGGTATACAGTGTGTACTCAATAAATATTACCCTTAAACAATACTACTGTTTTATTATTGTTGTTGGTAAACTTTATTATTGTTGTTAGTCTATGGGTTGAAAAGCTGAGGGTTTAAAAAGAAGGCCAGAGAACCTAAATGTAATCAGCAGAGGGAAATTTTATACCTAATGTTATTAACTGGATGATCTTGATGGAGTCTATCTGCACGTCTTCACTTCTGAATATGTTTCCCCCAAAAGGAGGCTTGAAATAATACTCTTTGTTCTCCCTGCTTCACAGGGCAGTTGAAAGAACATACAGTTGTCAGTAAAGGAGGATGAACCCTTTTGAATAGGTGCTTTACACAGGGTTCATCATCATTAAATTATAACTCCATTGTGCATGAATAAGCCTTAGAGGGAAAGTCATGAAGTGTTATTTTAATTCTTCAGTAATGAGCCCTAACTGGGTTGGGACAAGACCATTTTCCCCAAATTCTACTCTGCAGTCATTATTATCTCCCCTTTAAGCCAACAGAAAAGGGGTAGTATTTTCCCATACAGTTACTCAGAACATAGCAGGAGTCACATTTGACTAATGTTGAAAAGAGCTAAAACTTTACAGCATGAAGAAATTTGCAGTGCCAAGCGCCCGGCTGTTCTTTCTCTTGATGCCAGGCTCTTGTGCCAGGTCCTCTGGGCCCATCTCACTTTCACTCCTGGGCACTCTGCCATGGGCTCAGCACATGTTCACATCATGAACCAACTACTGCTGACTTAAATATGGTGATGCTATAGGAGAGAATCCAAGAAAAGGAGTCTCCTATCAAACTCTGCAATTTCACCTGCATCCACTCTTTTCTGGACCATAAGAAAACTTTAAGATTTCATATAGTCCTCCATAAGCTTCCGCCGAGAAACAAAATTCTTTAACTAGACAGATTCCGATCTTGGAACAGAAGTAACTAGAAAACTGCTGTCCCCGTCAAGCCCCCTTATGGTGTATCTTTGTCTTTAAATTGCAATATCTCTGAATTAGCCTTCCAGCTTGTACTTGTTTTAGAAAGCAACTGTTTTCAGTGACTTAAAATTCTGTAATGTCAAAGAATTCCTCCTGCTCATGGTCTTTTTTTCTTCAAAGAACATAAGAAGCAAGGCTTTCCAGGAACATTTACAGGGATAGCACCACCCACCATAACAACTGGCTCCTCAAATTTCCATCCTGCTTTCTACTACTATCCTACAGCAAGGAGAGCAAGCAAGGGTTTTTAAGGGAAAGCAGTCCATTTCACATTTCTAGGGGAAGTATAATGCTGTTTCTTTAGTCTCACTTCCTTGAGAGCAGAAAAATTCAGGTTTCTTCCTCTTCCTTCCTTTAGTTAAATAAATACAAAGGCATTCACCCATTCCAGAGCCTTACTTTGACTTGGAATTTTAATACAGTGATCAATTGACTGATTCTCCTATAAGGAAAAAAAAAAGATACGAGCTTTCTCTCCTTTTTTCTCATAAATCTTTTAAGAATGAAACCAAATAGTTACTGTTTGGCCTTTGATACTTTTATTGGAT